GACTTTCTTGATGGTTCTGTATCTTGGAAAACCAGCAACCTTGAAGAAATGAATGGAAGTAACAATAAACGCAACAAGTAAGATGCAGTAGATAAGATAGGACAGATTTTTATGAGAGTTGAAAGGGCTACTTGGATGAAAAAATGGCGAAACATTAGAAAGGTACAAAATTCTTGTAGACAACAATTACATTCATCACAATCTTTATTTTATAGAGAATCAGCTCACAGAGAATCAGAAATTTTTTTTGTCAGGCATCATGCATTAAAAACCATCATTATTTCAACATGATTTCTTACATTCTTATAGTGCTTCTGTAAGTCCGTGAAAGATATCCTTTGGTTTGGCTGGGTTGCTAAAAATTCACACATCTCAGCACCTAGGTTGTYAAATGGGTGACGTGGTGGTGTACAGAAYCTCTTGAGACGAATAAAATTTGATATCACATTACTTGCTGGGTGGTTGCAGATAACRGACTTCTGTTAAACCAAGAAAAAGAAMAAGAATTAAATTTATTTTTTTATATAGGAAAACACTGCCCTCAGTCTTTTATGTACGGACCTCGCTGCYGCTTGTTYCGTACTGTCAAGACCTTTTCCTATATGGACTTCCCAGCCGGTAAATAACATTATATTATATTTTTTAAAGAATAAATACATTTACATTTCTATTTTGATTCTCGAATAAGAACCATGTTAAGCTTRTTGGGCCTGGAAMACACAACTGCGTACTCTGTCTTCTACTCCTCATTAAGAAGTAATATTTTTAATATTCTTGTTCTTTTATGTTCACCTGCAGTGGTCTTAATGTCAGGGTTGAGAGATCGGACCTCTAGCTTAATGTCATTTAAATGAGAAAAAAAGCATTGAGATGATGTCATATCCTGTGACTCGCACCAGCTCTCGTATTCCTAGCCAAGGTGCAGTCGTAAAATAATGTTTAAAAATCTATAAAAATTTGTCATTGCTTCAAAATCAATTCTGACAACGGGAAATGGTTACTAAACWACTAAAAATTGCTTCAAATTTTCGAATTTTTAGGGGTGATAGTGCCTTTCGTAATGCAGGATTTCAATAAACATGTTTCATGAGTTTTCAAGGACTATCCAGAAAGACAAGAATGATAATTTTCAAGGAGCAGAATGCTAAAAGAATGTTTGCTACATCAAATCAATTCTATCATATTTGTGTTGTCATTTTTATAGAGCCCTTTTACCAAAGACATTTCAAGGAGTTTTTAAGGACATTTCTTCAACATTTCATTTTTCAAGGACTTTCAAGTGCTCTAAGAAGATGGATTTCCACCAATATTCAAGGCATAAGGACCTGCATGAACACTACTAATGACATAACATAAAGGACTGTAGCCCCAAACTTCCAAGATTGACCACATTACAACTCATTATCATTCAGCAACAAGTACATTCAAATATAGTGAAAAATTGAAGTGGATTTGTGTTATACCTAAAGAACCCCCAAAATATTTCCTTTCTTTATAATTCACTTGCTGGGTAGCCTGATTTTCAGACGGGGCCTGGGTCCTACGCTTCTCTCCGCCCCCAAACAACTTGGGGGTGGAGAGAAGCGTAGGACCCAGGCCCCATCTGAAAATCAGGCTACTTGCTGGGCTGCCTGTGGATAAGTTTTTAGTACCTGCTTTTTAATGAGTCCCATTTCTTGTGACAACTTTTTCAGTATGAAAAACAAATGCTTAGCATCAATGTTTAAGTGAATGGCCATAAACCTTTGCAGTCTACCATTTGTTCTTGCCTGCCCAACATGTTCTAGCAGACAGAACTGTAATGGTGTCAATGCRATCGTAGGATCAATGTCATCTTCTATTAAAGCCTTTTGCCTCAATTCTTGAGATGCAACTATCACCARGTGGTCTCCCCATCTATAGAAATGATAGACAGCTTGTAATAAAAGTGTGGCTAGATTGGAAAACAACAGATTTCTTGCAGTTTTGGCACCATTCTCATACTGAGATTTCTCAGTTTCCCAGAGGAAAATCCAAGACCTTGGATGGGGACGAATTTGGGCCATATTGCAATATATATATAATGCATATATACTGATTGTGCAAGTATCTTTCTTCTCAAACAAGAGCCTTTGATTTTCCATAGGAAAACTGAGGAGGATCTAGGTACATGAATGTTTGGCCACCATCTTGAAAGGTTAGTGTACTTTGCACTGAACCAAGACAACCAGTGAATATCAAATGATAAACAACTTTGAAAGAAGGTTTCTTGGACAGTAACTGGTCATCTTGCTATAATTAATGTAATGTTTGGATCSCTATATTTCAAGATTGCAGAGAAAACTACAAAGAACATCAGAACAGATTACTGCATGTACATGTACTTTCATAAAATATATCAAGCAGAATACAGAAATATCAGGCATACTTATGGTACAAACTGACCTGTCCAAAGCCTGCTGCAATGACAAAAGACACTTCCCAGAAACACTCCTTATTTCTGATGTAATGTCCGTTCTCCTTTCGTACTCTGGACATGAGCCAATAATCTCTCCATCATGCACCATGTGAAAGGAGTTGAAGAAGAAATCAATGGTCCAACCATCAGACTCTTGCTGCAGCAAAACAACACAAAAATGAATGATACCAAGACATTGATATGCTATTATATCAATCAACATACAGGACTTTCAAAAAAGGCAGTAGTTTACATGTATGCCAATTTTAGTTTAGTTTACTGACAATGTTGGGGTCTAGTGTGACAAGTCATTGAAACGGGACCTCAAAGGCCTTTCATCTAAAATTTCCTTTGAAGATCGCATATATGGCACTGTCAAAGTTTGAAAGATGTATTGTTATGCTATTTAGAACAATTTAACACTCTTGGAAGATACAATCGAAGTTCACTATATGGAGGGTGGTCTTTGAGACCTAATGTTTTAGTGCTTTGTCCCCAGTGCCAGGGTGGTTAACCATGACATATCACGCTAGTTTTGAAAGTTGTGAATGGTACAAAGATATTGTACATTCAATTAATCTACTATGCTTATTATTACTTATACAGAGTTTAATAAAAGCAAATCTGACAGTATCTTTGGAAAAACCTTCACATTTTAAGTCTTTTTTTATTCATGAAAAGGTCTTCTTCACATTATTTACATGTGAATTGTAGCAGTACCTTTGCATTGAAATTAGACAACTTGTAAGCTTTCAATGATAGATAATTAATTATTAAATAATAGCATGTGCAAAAGGAAGTACATGTATATCTAGAATCCCTGTTGTCTTGTAAAGAAGGCTATGTTAAGTACAAAAATGTGAGCGACTTTAGAATATTCCGTCACTTTCGGGCACAATAAAAATTTGCATACCAGTTCTTTTATAAAAACAACACAGAATTCAATAGTTTTTAATCCTATTCATAAAGTGATGGGTATAGTAAAGGTTAACTCAAAAATGTGCAGCCTACATAAGGTAAATACAAATTAATGCTAAATACCTTTAAATTCCAGTTAAACTTTTTTCTGTTCAATCCCACTATGTCATTGCTAAAGATATGTGGCAAGGGAGTCTCCAGGGAATAAAACTTCACATCAAGAGATTCAACAATTCCAGTCCAAAGGTAGCTCTTAATACCATCATCAATTTTTATTGGGAATGGAGGAGTTCTTTTCTGGAGATTCTCCCACAGCTTTATTGGGGGGCAACCTATTTAGAGTAGAAAAAGTTTGTATTTACAAAGGTTATGTTGTTGTGTTTTTCTGAAGTGTTGAAATAATAGTTTTTACATCATTAAAGCTTCTGTTTTAAACGTTCAAAAATTGCTTCAAACACGAGAAATCTGATCAAAGCCCACTAAAAGCTTACTGTCAGAAGAGACAATCACAAAACATTATCTTTTAACTTAATTCAAAACTTACCATCTAGTCCCTCGAGTGCAATTTCATCTCCACAGATTAACATATAATCCATTTTACCAATATGCTGCTTATAGCAGCAAGAACTTCAAGATTAAACCATGTTTTTATTTTGCACAAAACTTGACCACGTTTGAATCCTACATGCTTAGCGCCCTGGCACAGTTAGAATATACTGAGGGAGGGGACGGGCGGGAAGGATTTTATTTCTCTCGAAAACAAACGAAAGATTGCTTAGTTTATAAAAATTGACAAGCAAAGTAATAAAAATAACTTTTTATCATGATTGAAAGTTTTTTTTGCTGAAAACACAGTTAAGTAAAGCGAAAAAGAGTAAGAATTCGAATAGTTAGGCCCTATTTTGCCGCAGCCTTNGTATACCCCTACGACTTGTCTACAACAGTCGTACGCAACCTACGACTTGTAGTAGGATTTTGAACCACTGCTTAAAATCCTACGACTTGTAGTAGGAAAATCGTATACTACAAGTCGCGCGCGACACATCGTACTGTGTAAATCAGCCTTAACTATATATGGAGAGTGGTCTTTGAGACCTAATGTTTTAGTGCTTTGTCCCAAGTGCCATGGTGGTTAACCATGACATATCACGCTAGTTTTGAAAGTTGTGAATGGTGCTAAGATATTGTACTTTCAAGTAATCTACAACTATGTTTCTTATTACTTATACAGAGTATAAAAAGGTTCAATAGAAGCAAATCTGACAGTATCTTGAGAAAAACCTTTTTTTCATTCATGAAAATGTCTTCTTCACAGTAATTTACACGTTCCATCTTGAATTGTAGCAGTGCCTTTGCATTGAAATGAGGCAACTTGTGGGCTTTCAATGACACATAAAATGAATAATAGCACGCGTAAAAAAACCTCATCGGTTCCCTGTTGTCTTATTTTAGATATTGAAAATTATTGGACAAAACACTGTAAAGAAGACTATGTTGAGTACAAAAATGTGAGCAACTTTAGAATACCCCGTCACTTTCTGGCACAATAAAAATTTGCATACCGGCTCTTTTAAGAATGACACATAATTCAATAGTTTTTAATACTATATTCCTAAAGTGACAGGGTATAGTAAACTTTAACCCAAAAATGTGCACCCTACATATAAGGTAAATACAAATTAATGCTCAATATACCTTTAAATTCCAGTTAAACTTTTTCCTGTTCAATCCCACTATGTCATTGCTAAAGATATGAGGCAAGGGAGTCTCCAGGGAATAAAACTTCACATCAAGGGATTCAACAATTCCAGTCCAAAGGTAGCTCTTAATACCATCATCAATGTTTATAGGGAATGGAGGAGTCCTTTTCTGGAGATTCTCCCAGAGCTTTATTGGGGGGCAACCTATTAAGAGTAGAAAAAGTTTGTATTTAAAAAGGTTATGTTGTTGTGTTTTTCTGAAGTGTTGAAATAATAGTTTTTGCATCATTAAAGCTTTTGTTTTAAACGTTCAAAAATTGCTCCAAACACGAGAAATCAAAGCCAGCTTACTGTCAGAAGAGACAATCACAAAACATTATCTTTAAACTTAATTCAAAACTTACCATCTAGTCCCTCGAGTGCAATTTCATCTCCACAGATTAACATATAATCCATTTTACCAATATGCTGCTTACAGCAGCAAGAACTTCAAGATTACACCATGTTTTTATTTTGCACAAAACTTGACCACGTTTGAATCCTACATGCTTAGCGCCCTGGCACAATGAGAATATACTGAGGGAGGGGAGGGGCGGGAAAGATTTTATTTCTCTCGAAAACAAACGAAAGATTGCTTAGTTTATAAAAATTGACAAGCAAAGTAATWAAAATAACTTTTTATCATGATTGAAAGTTTTTTTTGCTGARAACACRGTTWAGTAAAGCGAMAAAGAGTAARAATTCGAATAGTTAGGCCCTATTTTGCCGCAGCCTTCAAAGAGGCCTGGATGCTCATTTATTATGTTTACATCAAGAAGGCTCCAAGGAGCTAAGATACTGCGTATTATATAAACTCCAGAATATAACTTGACTTTTTATCTCTAGCGCGAAATAATTTAGTAGACACCAAAGAAGATTAGTTGTGAGCATTCTTCAACGTTCAAATTGCATGAGGTTTGGTAGTTTTCGTAAAAATTGTAAATTACACCGCGAGTTCAAAAGAGGCTACAGTTCAGTAGCTGTCTTCGACACGTATTCTTCTCCTTTTCAAGATGGAACAATTGACGCCAATCAAGTCTACAAAATGGGACAGTCATGATTTTCTGACCAATGGCCATGCCAAGGACATATTGGAGGCAGTCAACAGACTCCGAAAAGAAAACAAACTTTGCGATGTTATTCTCCAAGTCGAAAACAAAGAATTCCCAGCACATAGAATCGTGTTATCKGCATGCAGTGATTATTTCTGTGCAATGTTTACCAGCGATATGGCAGAAAGTCAAAACCGTGTTGTAAAACTGAAGGGTTTRACACCAGAAACTATGGATGTGTTGTTAGACTTTGTATATACGGAGACTGTTAAAGTTAGTGTTGAAAATGTTCAGGCTTTGCTTCCTGCTGCTTGTCTGTTGCAACTTACAGGTAATGAAAAGCTGTCACTTGAAAGTTTACTGTTCATTAATAAGTCATGAGGGTCTGTATTAGTCCAATCAAGGTTGACCATTTGAGTCACATGATACACCTTGGAATTTCTAATGCAACACTGTAAAAGTTAATCACGTTTCGACTATACCAATATTTATTATGACAAGATCCATCTCTTCCTAAAAACACAGAAGACCAAACCAAATTTCAATAGTGGGACCATTCTTAAACATGTGACTATGGACCTGCAGCAATGATGAATAAAATATCGGTGTTAAGGAATTTTTGATAAAACTCTAATGTTTAATTCATCAATGATGTTATCCCTAGTTGGTCCTAGTTCATTAATAAATATTATGTACTTATTGACTGAGTGGGAGGGCCGTACGGGAAAATATTTGGCTCAAGGTTATGCCGTATGGACCGAGTGCAGCAAGTTCCGTGGGACCATTCTTAAACATGTGACTATGGACCTGCAGCAATGATGAATAAAATATCGGTGTTAAGGAATTTTTGATAAAACTCTAATGTTTAATTCATCAATGATGTTATCCCTAGTTGGTCCTAGTTCATTAATAAATATTATGTACTTATTGACTGAGTGGGAGGGCCGTACGGGAAAATATTTGGCTCAAGGTTATGCCGTATGGACCGAGTGCAGCAAGTTCCGTACAAATGACTGAGAGCCAAATATTTTCCCGTACGGCCCGACCTAACTCAGTCAATAAGCATTTTATCATATGACAGCATTTTTTAACGTAAAAAAATAAATAAAAGCAAGCGGAACTTCAAGCCGGGAAAATACGGGTTTGTACGGACCTGTCATGAAAAAGCGTACGGACCCCATCACGTGACCATTTTCCAAAGGTTTCAGTGAGAGCGCGCGTAGGGCCGTAACACGGGTCATATGATAAATAGATATCTTATTCAGCATAGACATTTTGTATGAAGGATGGAGAAAGTTATCCATTCCTTAGACTTTATCTGCAGGATATGATTTTATAGAATGGATAATGCTATTTATTCTTCATACACCTGGGCCCAGCATTAATTTAAGGGATCTCTATTAAGGGTGTGTGAAGATTAATCTACTCCACTGGTTTTTATGCTCACCCCTTTACAGCCTCAGTATGCAAAACAGGATCAGGGAAGCACGGGTGGCACAGTGGTAATGCACTGGTTTGATTTCCGGTCCAGTACTATATGTGGCTTGAGTTGTAAGCTGGTTCTCTTCCTTGCTCTGAGGGTTTTTCTCCAGGTCCGCTGGTTTTCCTCCCTCCATCAAAAACTAGCTTTGAGGAGTGTCATGTAGTAAAATAATGAATAAATGTTGAGGTAGTGAGTGTGAGTGAATATATAAAGGGCCACTAGTTTACTAGTCGAGAGACTATTATGTTCTACCCTCTCAAAATAAAGAGTTTATTAGTTTTATTATTATTATTATTTGTTTATTGACAATTACTAATAATAATTACTGTAATTGAATAGTGTAAACTGTTTAGTGTAACCATAATATATACTATTGTATTAATAGGTGTCCAGAAAGCATG